ACGGTTGCTTCAAGCCATCTCATCATCATGTACTCCGTGCATATGCTATGATTTTCTGAACTTCATCTTGTCACAAAGTGGTTGCAGGCCACAAGGAACCGAATGGAACCGATAAAAGGAAGCTTAGACAAATCCAAGTACTAACTCAAAATCCAAGTACAAAATCCAAGTACTAATGCCCATGCTGGCTGAAGCTCGATGCGTTGCAGCTGCCGCAGACGCTAGCTCCAGATTTCCCTCCCATACATTGTTGTACCCAGCAACAACTTTCTGTGGCAGCACAGCCAAAGCTACGTGGGTAGAGCTTCTGCACATGTGTTACTACGCCGAGTAGTCCGTTTTTGTCCGATTTCGGTTTCGCAAGCGCATCCAACATGTACCTTTTCACGCGACCACCACGCAATAAATCTTACATTTATTTGGGAGGCTGTATGTAAATGTTCATTTTTAAAAGAAAAGAACACGAAGCTTCTTTGAAGCGTTCTGATTTATATCATGAAAATTCGGCAGATTCCACGGATATGGGAATCGGCGTTGTGCGAAACATGCGGACAGAAGGTGACCGTGCTTCAATTTTTTTAATTAAGCAACGCGTCATGAAATGACGCTGAATATATGTGCAAATGGTACGCGCACAAACATATCTTGAAGCGTCGCACGTGTTTATATAAGCAGTTGATTGCACCTGAGCAACGATGCCAACTGGAACATGCGTATTAGCAACACCAGGAGGTGATATAAAGCGCTGATGCTCGTGAGGATTCTGACTGTGGACACTGCTAAAAAATTAACTTCAGTGCATGGCAACTAATCACCATTTCCGTTAACCCGACTTGACGGCTGTATCAAAGGAGCTCATATGTAATGTTTGTAAAATTGGGTAGACATTACTGCAACCACTATTGACTTTAACGAAGTTAGCGTCCATTTGAAAAGTAGTTCCGAAGCCTGGCATAGCTTTTTGGTAAAATGCTTCATTGCCACGCAGAATTCATGGGTTCGATTCTACCTATAACCCTGACATTTATTCCTTGCATTCATCGGGTCGACGCTACCGATCTCTGGTATTTGGTATTTCTTGACGCAGGCTCATTATATTTACCCATGTGTGTTCTCCTCGTTCCCGGGTTGATTCCAACTGTCAATCACCTGCAACACATACCAGCATACCAGCGGCATATACCCACCTGTGGGTATGTGCCACTGTCTGGAGGGAAGTGTTTGACGACGTACGCGACGGGATTATTCATGTCTTCAACAGCGCATGATATTCGCCAAACCATGTTACCCTCCCATGTAAATTTTTGTTCACGTCAAGTTAAGGGGTGACCATAATGTCACCCAAACATAAGCGGCTAGATAGATAGATAGTTAGATAGATACGCTGAAAGTCGCTGAAGTTCACTAAGAAATGCTTCGCATTTAAAAAAAAGGTAAGGCCGAGCAGGTACTGGGCGATTGGAACAATACAACGCCAACAAATATTTTCTTAAATTTCAGTGCATACTTGGTCGGTATCATTGGTTTACTTCTTTTCGAGACGCAAGAACATTATGGCGACGCTCACGTTATCTTTTATGGGACGCGAAGGCATTGACTGAAAACAAAGATCTTGGCACTATACTTGGAACCAATCAGTCATGAGCGGGCGTCTGAAGTTCACAAATCCAAGTGGGTGAAACGAAATCTTCACTCGGCCAAGAACGTTGTTTTTGCACAGTTATAAGGTTAATATACATGAAGGTGTATTTTGCCCAGGCAAAGCGTATGTAACGACTCCCTCCGTAGGCACAGATGGAAGCAATGTCACGGTGTGCAATCGCCAGCGCTATCGTATCAACAATATTACGCAGCTTAAACACCGACCACGTATGCAACGCTATTTAGGGAAAAGGTTATTGGTTTTACGTACAGTTTTCAACCACACTTTCTTCCAAGCTGCTGGTGTTGCTGAAGGCTGGCAGGTCGCCGGCGTCACTTTCAAGGTGCTTACACCGATTATAGTCCCACTTTCGCTGATGATATCACTCGCAATAAAATTCTCAGTGATTGCATGCGCGGGAAACAAAATATTTCCCGTTGAACCACTGTCTTCATTTCTCTCTACTCGGTGAACATAGATAACCTACCGATCATCGTTCTTACCGGGAAGGAAAAAGGAGAAATAGCAGCAGAAAACCAGAAAACTAGAAATGGCCAGGAATGAAAATCCCGCATGGTGTAAGCTTCCTAATAATAAGGCGAACAATCTTGAACATAATTTTTACATGTTTTCTTTTTATAGTTTACTTTATGCTATGCAGTATACAAACGTTAGCGTTCGTGGACTACATGTGGAAGCGTAGTGAAAAACACCAGGCCTGCGCGGAAGGCGCAGCACAGTCACAGCGAAAGCTAGAAGAGCGGCCTTTCAGAGCCTTTTCCAAACACTCACTCGGTAACTACTGTAAGTACACTTGCTTGATACCCACTAGGGCATTAATAATCAATTTTGTTGGGTAGCAGGCCGGCATTCGCTATGCTATTTTTTTGTCATTCTTGTGAGAAGTGTGGTATTCGCTAAACACTTGCAAGGAATTTCGTGCCAATTGTTCATGCAGTGGCTGACGACGATGAGGAATTATGGCTAAAGTGTGTATGCGCAACAGTTATTAGGTGAAGAAGAACAAGCTTTTGTGATGGACAGGAGCAATATACGGCACACCCATTACGCTATTCGCATTGTGCAATGACTGGTTGTTCTTTCGGTGTTTTAAAACGCTTTATTCATCGTATTAACGCGATTGCTTTTCCGACATCAAGCCCGCTTAAGGCAAGTTTGCCAACAAGTCACAAGTACTGGCGTAGCTCAGTGGTAGAATACAAGGCACTCAGCGGACCTGGGTTCGAGCGCCTCTGTGCCTTTGGTGCTGTTTTTTTTTTTTTCTAGTTTCGCCTGATGTAGTTAGAGACACCGGCGGCGGCGCACAACTGAGTGTGACTCGAGTTGTTATCTCATAACAGCTTTCACTGTAAAAAATCACAGCATATCCACGGAGTGAATGATGATGAGTGGCGCGAAGCTTCCGTCTGTACGTTCGTTCTTGCTTCCGTCCGTCCGCGCGACCATCCATGCGTCCGTCCATGAGTCCGTCCGTCTGTCTGCCTGTTGGTGCGTCCGCACGTCTATCCATCAATCCGTCCGTCCGTCTGCTAGTCTTTCTGTCTGTCCATCCGTACGTCCATCAAGTGAACACTCCAAGTACTGTCATCTCCCATCTCGCATCCCCTGTGGCACGTATCCGCTCTAGAGAGGGTATTTGCCACCGGTGGCTACGTACTACTACATAAATACGAGGGATGAACAGACCCACGCCTTAAAGAGCTTCACCCCTAAAAGGGGTATGCTGGGACTTCATAGCCTTGGCTATGCTGCCACAGAAATTTGTCGCCGAGTATAGTAAACGTCGTCGAAGGCGACCTGATCGCGGAGCTGAGAAATGTCCAGTAGTCTGAGTGCGCTGAATTTCGACCTATTCCTAATGCGAAGCGCGTCGTATAGAGCTCTCTGGCGCTGTCAAAAACAATAAGCTGAATGTGTCATAAGCTCTCCTTTGCCATTGTTGGCGTCTCAGAACAACAATATTTTCAGACTTGGCAGAAAAGTAGTCTTCTTTAAACTATAATTGAGCTGCTGGTGACACATTGTCTTTTTACACCTTGGCTAGAAGTTCCATTTGCGCACGATTTCCGAATTTCTAGAGTGCCCTTGCCGGACAATTATGCGGCCGATCCCAGACACCTCAGTAGTAGATGTAATGCAAAACGGCCTGCTGTAATTTGGTATATACTGCTTTGCTTGACGTTGCACCCAGGGTTACCAAGCGAAGCGACATGGTTATGCAATTCACTTGTGTGCATGACGTGAATGGGCAGTTTCGCGTGACACAAGTGTAGAAACCACGCGACAGCGTCTAAAGGACAAAGGGTATTAAATTCAAGTTCATCATCACTATACACAGTTTTTGTGCTTCACGTATATTACCAAGCAATTACATAACCACCAACCATTGAGGGTGCATGCGATGCCGGTGTTTCTGCAAGCACTGCCGTCTAGCAAGCCTCAGGAAATAGCGAAGTCCCTCGGCTCTGTCATTTTTCAACTCACTGTGACTCTTGCGTCTATTAAACTTTCTTACACAAATAAGGAGAAATACCAAGGCACGGAACACAGTTGGAGCCTTCTGGCTTTTCCGATATTTAATGGCGGACGCCTCGACTGTGACCGGTGCTTTCTTGAAGGGTATCTGGAACGACTTTCAGCTAGATCTATGCGTCGCTGACATAAAAGAAAGCTGCAATGTCATTCCCGCTGCTTTTGCTCTTAACGAGGCTTAGCGTCATGTTACGGCTCGAAGCCATATTGCTTTCTCTAGAGATAAATGGCGCGAAGCAACTTCCGAAAGTGGGAGCACGACAGAATAGACAAAAACTGAAGCACTTGTTCTTGTGCAGTAAACGAGAATATAAGTCACTTGTCGCAGACATGCATTTTACAGTTGAGAAAAACAAAGTACTTTTTCAGACATGGAACAATGAAAACGTGTACCAATTAAAGAGCTACGCACGCTGATGTGCCAGAAAACAACCCGCGTTTTCGCAAGATATAAGGCCCGAATGATATGATATGCTGCTGCTTTATGTTGGTATGATATCTCTGCTGTTTTATGTTCACAATCCCGTTAAAGTCGGAGATACGACGTGTTCTTTTTGTAAATTAGTGCGAGTGAAAGCACTCCACGGTGATTATTTTGGTAACCTAATATATGTTCTTTGCCGGTAACGATATACAGATAGCTGGCATGATTGTGTAGCTAGTGAAAAAGAATCACTAATAGAAAGCTTTGTTTTGTCGTGAATACAATTACTAACGTAGCCAACGTATACTTAATGACGATGTACTTCTTGATCACATGATATAAGCTTGCATTTATAATTCCCTGTACGTTACACTTCTCCAGTGCCACCAACGGAATTTGTAATCAAGGATGCTAACGGCAATATTGTACGAGATTTGGTGGGGCCATACACCGAGAGTGAAAACCTTTTCCTGGTGTGTGAAATAATTGGAGGTGAGTCACAACTTATGTGTCGCATTTATTTATTTAGCAGACTACCTACTATATGGCTCTGTATTATGACCAAAAAATAAATTTAATTTATCATTCCTGAATAATCTGGGGAACTTGCGATGTTTTGCTGTAGCAGTCTATCTTCGTAATTGTTAGCACTCGTATAATATTTTCATACTTTTTGATATTTTTACGATTTAATTTCTCCATCTTTTTCGAAGTTTATTGTTGAAGTTAGGTTTTGATTATTGTTGAAGTAATTGGTAGATTTATTTTAAGCACAAACATTTATATAAACAATTCCTTCACTCCTGAGGTACGGAATATCTACGCCTTCGTTTTGACTATAAACATTGGGTTCGTCTTGTATTATATGTCTTAAAAATTATATATTAATCCCCGAAACGGTAATGCGAACATGCGTAAAGCTGGGGCGGGAAGAAGGTTGTGTGGCTGCGCTTGAATTTTAGCCAGCTGAGGATTTTTAACTTTCCCCTATAAATAAGCTTGATGAACGTAATCCTTACTACAAAATGGCCGCATCCAAACCACCCTATTGAATCTCGCGCTATAGCTCTACCTATTAGTTTTTAGCCTGCAGCTGATGGGGCATCTTGAATTTTAGCAAAGTTTTGCTTTAACAGACTCACACGTAACGTCCTCCGTGTCATAAGATGTGCCGACGCCTAGTTCTTCCTGCCATGTGTTTCTGTATGCAAAACTGTGATACGCATGTCGTGTTATCGTTCCTGGTTATTGAGACGTACATAGATGCAGCTTCACACCATGGCGTTGCCATGCGAAATGCATCGCAGGAAAGCCGCGGTTCCTTACAACGTGGCAGAATAATCTGGGCGCTGCGGCGAACGTGAGCAGCGTGGTGGAAGAGGACGACGTGCATCGGACCTTTCTTCGCATTGAGCCGCTGCGGCGACACCACTGGGGCCTGAACGCCACGTGCACGGCTTCCATTTTGGACGGTCTTTTCTCCAAGTCCCTCTCGGTTCACGTACTCATACACCGTACGTATTGAGGTTTATGTAGGCCTTGCGAAGCAAGAAAACAGAAAAAGAGAAATGCCTAATGCAGTGCTGGATTGCTTCCTTGGCAGAGCAGTTGTTTTCAACAGAAGTATTTGAAAAAAGGGCCACTTGTATCCCACCTAAAATATAATACATCCACTCGGTACATTATTGGTACTTGTGTGAATAGAAAAAAAATAATTGGAGGCAAAATGATTTGATAGGTTTCTCTTAAATGAAAGTACCAGCAGATGTCCGCTTGTTACGCGTAGGCGTACACTCGTATCGAGGTACTTACGTTGCAACGTTCTAATGATATCAGGATCATTATTACACAACGCTTCACAATCTATATCGAATGCAACAGTACTACTATACACGATCATTTGCTTGGAACTAGCGGTATTACGATCAATTATCAACAAAATAAATGTAACGGAAAAACCACGTTGCAATACAAATGGCTGAGGCTATCGTGTTATGAGGTTCGTTATATATGTCGACAGTACCTAGAGTGCTTCGCTGTGCAGGGCTCTCCTACAAACCGGATCAGTGTTTGATCAACATGAACAAATTTTTGTGTTATCTTGCCACTGATTCTTCCAAAATGGGTACAGTTATCTCGTTTTTCACTGAAACCAAGGAAGCCAACACCATTTGAGGGAAACATACAGTAATTGTGTGGGAAAACTTTGTATTCTCCAATGCATAATTGGCTTTCATTGTATATCATAAAATTTAGCATCTAAAACCGGTGCCATCCAAATTCTGTGATAGGATAAACATTAAAACTGAGAACACTTGCACTCTTCCCAGTGCCGCCTGCGAGCACCGTGATAACGGCAAGCCACACGGAACTCTACTTCGAAGAGCCGGCCGAATTTGTGTGCACTAGTAGGGGATCACGTCCCGCGGCAGAAATACGGTGGTTCTTGGGCTCGAGTCCTGTCGAACCGCTCCTGTACCGCACCACGACGGACGGCAATGTCACCACGAGCTTCGTGCTAGTCACACCGACGAAGGAACGCAACGGAGAGCGGCTCAAGTGCGTCGCCTTCAACAAGAGTCTACGGGGCTCAGAGCTGTCGTCTGAGACGCTGCTAGAGATAAAATGTGAGTACGCCATCTTTTGACTAGTGTTCGTTTCCCATTGTTCCCAAGTTCTTGGCTGGCAAAAAAAAAATGGCAGCATATCCACGGAGTGAATGATGGAGAGTGGGGCGAAGAATTCGTCCGTCCATTCGTTCTTGCTTCCGTCCGTCCATGCGTCCGTCAGTGTGACCGTCCATGCGTCCATCAGCCCGTCCGTGCGTGCGTCTGTTCGTGCGTCCGTCCCTGCGTTCGTCCATGCAGCCGCCCCTGCGTCCGTTCATGCGTCCATCCATGCATCTGTCTATGTGTCCGTTCGTCCATCTATTCAACACTCCAAGTACCACCATCTCGCATCTTTTCATCATATATTCCCCATATAGAAGCACCACCATCCAGCGGACATTCCAAGGACTAAACGAGAGGTGGCACACACACACTTTCTTACGGCTTGCGCTTCGGGTCCACTTCCCACCTTTAACCACCTCGAGTTCATGGTATATACTAGTTCACTGTATTCATGGCACTGCGGCCAAACGCTCGCTAAACCTTTCGAAAACCAAGGAGGTTACGTCCAGCCAGTATGACGTAGCAAACTTTTTTCAGTCAGATAGTGCTCAATGTACATGCCAATGGCTGCTAATGGGAAATGAGAGGCGGAGAATTCGGCTTTTACTTTCTTACGGCTTGCGCTTCGTATCTACTTCCCATTTTTAACCACCTCGAGTTCATTCATGGTATATACAAGTTCATTGTATTCATGGCACTGCGGCTCAACGCTCGCTAAACCTTTCTAAAGCTAAGGAGGTTACACCCAGCGAGTATAATGTAGCAACCCTTTCTTGTCAGATAGTGCTCAATGTACATTCCAATGGCTGCTAATGGTGATTGCAGCCTGCGCGTTAACTAAAAGCCGAATGCTCCTGTCTCTCATTCCCCATTAGCAGCCATTGACATGTACATTGAGCACTATTTTTCATTGTTCAACAACGCACAGAAGAAGTCTCTCACCGGCACCACCTTGGAGGTCAAAATGTTATACTTGTTACATACTACGGGGGACGAACGGGTGCCGCTATAAGGAGCTTCGCCCCTAAAAAGTTGACCTCAGATGAGGCATCTTGGTTATCAGACTGAGGTGAATTAGGTGGGGTGCAGACTAGCTCTAAAGCTTCGGCCAGCCAGTATGCGTGAACGAAATATGGGAGGACGGAGGGTCACTCCTCACCTGAGGAAACTATTCAGCTTCCTTTCAGAATGATTCGAGGTGGACTCGAATAGACGTCAATCTATGCATTCACTCTACGCCTTGCCTTCTTGCGTAAACGCCTGCCAAGGGAAGCCACACGCACCTGTTCTTGATAGCCCCAAAAAGGACAATCTCTGAAATCTAATCCCCATAACTACCCGCACTTTTCCCTGTTTCTTTTTTATGCTTTCCTTCGAAATCATCCAAGCACGCTCAGTAGTGACACCACATTATTTTTTTTTGTACCAACCAGTGGCATATCTAATAGGTAGAACAAATAGCCCGTGGCACGCTCCCCCTGTGAATTTTCTTCGCGATGGCATACAAAGCAGAAAGGAACCGTTTTAAAAAGGTGGCCCCCCTCACCCAGGAAAAAGGAACTGCCTCTTCCTCCCCTTCGAAATAAATGGCTGCCTACTCCAATGCCCTAGCAGAAAGATTCTCTCAAATGTACTTGTTGCGTTGCGGTTTCTGGATATAGCGCACTTCTTATTAGTATTGATAATGTGCATATTTGCATACTTCACGGAGTTGAATGAAGCCCTCTCGATTTCGCAGACGTGGAGGTCCCTAAAGACTGGCCGTCGATAGGTAACATGCATTAGTTAACGCACCTAACCAAGTTCTAATACTAAATGCTCTTTCCACTTAGTCCGATTAGACGTTACCATTACTTAATCACAAGCGTAGTTAAAGAAATTATTGTGAATAGCGTGAAACTAACGCCATGAAGAAACGCGGCTCGGCAATGCAAGCGCTGTCCTGTTTGTTTAATTCCCGGCCTCCTGTTGGTTTTGCCCTGTGTACAATCACTATGAAATACCAACTGTACTAACTCAGCCACCTCCATTATTCAAAGAACAGCAAAAACAAGGCAGGCTATATGTCTAAGAACCAGTAATCAAGACTTGCATTGAGTCATATTGTCTTCTTTAAGAAATTACGATATCTCTGTTGTTACCTTTTCTTTGCTCGACCAGACTAACAAGGATAGCAAACAAACAGTATCACCTTTAATGCATTGCTAAATTCATCAGGGTAGACTCGACATGACTGCAATTTTTTATTCAGTCGACATTACGTTAGGCAGAAGATAATGCAACTGTTAGAAATGCTCACACACAGCTGCTTTCAAAAGGACCCTACAACACGTCACGAATTTACAACCTTGCTTATGATTAAAAATCCGTAAAAAGTGGTTGTGTCAAAACATAAGCCCTACACAACCCCTGCTTACGAATTTTTCATCGCAAGCTTCTATTTCTCCATTCTACCATTTTTGGACAACCATGCTTATTGTCACAAGTTTAGGTTTCTTCATGATGTCATTTTCCTCTCTCTACGACCGACCTTTCCTAACATTACTGAATAGCGTTATTAGCGTAAAAATCTTTTTTTTCAAGTGTGATAAAGAAAACTACTCTAATGTCAGAATGAGCAAGCCTGGAAGTGCATCAAATGAAGTACGTGCGCGAACAATGAATGTTTTAAAAGGCGAGTGATAAGGTTCAAGTGCGTGTGTACGTATGTTTCCCTAATGCGCACACAAGTGAGTTAGTGCGTGCTTTATGTGTATCGTGCACTGAGTAGAAAACTATTATTCATCTTAATGATGTGGACTAGTAATATAAGCCTATATTGCAAAGGAAAGCTTGATTTTATGCTGAGTTCCTTGGCTTCATATAATGTAAAGTTGATATATCCGTAGACAGTGCATCATGATTCGCACCTGAAGGGGATATGAAAAAAAAATATGCGCGAAAGATTGCACAGTATGTAAACGAGTATGTGAGATGCGATTCATATGACAGTGTGTGTCATTTTGCCATCCAGTTACTATTTTCATTTTATACCAGGGCAAAAGCACCAGCGCAGAACATAAACGCACAGACTAGGATTCACGAAAAGCTTTAGCCAGGTCTATCATTGTCATTTGCTGCTGCATTAATTTATTTGGTGTCTGTGCTTGAGGGTATAGACATTAAGTGAAGAACATGATCGAAGAGTAATAAGGTAGATTAGGCATGCCTTTGTAGCAGCAGCGTTCGACGAGTCACGAAATGAAGAACAAAGCACATCGCCCAACCAAGGTGACCTGGTGTGCGGACACCTTAGAACCCATTATACTCGGTGACAACGTTTCTTGGCACTGAAGCGAAAGCTACGGAGGTGGTGCTTCTGCACATGTAGCACTACGTGAAGTAGTCAGTAATGGCGCTCGTCTCGTAACGCTGTGGAAAGTGACGGAGGGCGCACCATCAGGGTTTCATGAAGACGCAGACGCTGCTTAGCGTTTGGGGTGCACGTAAAAAGCATGAGTTCCTCGCGCGTTTAGAAACGCCATGTCACTACGAATAAATTGGATTGGATAAACTTTTATTTGGTCCTCCAAAACACAGATCACTGTGTTGCGGGCAGCTCCCACGTGGGGACTACGAATAAATTAAGGCGAATACGACTACCCTAATTCAGTGAGCTGCGTCCTGTCTCAAATAGCTCCACATGGAAAATAAAGAGGGAACTTCTAAATTTTATCGTAAAAAATAGCAGCATATCCACGGAGTGAATGAAGGAGAGTGGGGCAAAGCATCCGTCCGTCCATTCGTTCTTGCTTCCGTCCGTCCATGCGTCCGTATGTGTGACCGTCCATGCGTCCATTCGCCCGTCCGTGCGTCGGTCTGTTCGTGCGTCCGCACGTCCATCTGTGTTTACGTCCCTGCGTTCGTTCATGCATCCGCCCCTGCGTCCGTCCATGCATCCATCCGTCGGTGCAGCCATCCGTGAGTGCGTCCATGCATCTGTCTGTGTGTCCGTTCATCCATCTATTCTACACTCCAAGTACCACCATCTCGCACCTTTTCATCATATGGATGGATGGATGGATGGATGGATGGATGTGGCTGTACCCTTTAGATCGGGTGGCGGCTAACGCCACCTAGCCGTAATACTTAGAGAACTAACCTTTACATTTATCTTTTTTTTGAAGTTGAGGATTCGTACTTCGCAGTGAAGGGTTTAATTTTCACTCGTGCCCTGACTTTAGCCACCAATCAGATAACCTTCTTCTAGTTAAGTCTACCCGCTTAAAGTCTATTTTGCCCTCGCTGTCCCTAAATCCCAGTGCTTTGAAAAACTCTGCGCCATCATCCGGAGCTATAGGGTGAAGCCCTTTACAGAACATTATCAAGTGTTTGGCAGTTTCTTCTTCCTCTCCACACGCTCTGCATAGTGTGTCGACCCCTTCGTATTTGGCCCGGTATGTCTTGGTTCGCAGTACTCCCGTCCTGGCCTCAAACAGTAGAGAACTACCCCGAGTATTATCATAGATCCTTTCCTTGGCAATTTCCTGCTTAAAAGTTCGATAGATCTCTAGTGCGGACTTCTTAATCATGGCCATTCTCCACATGTCAGTCTCCGTTTCCTTCACTTTTTTCTTAACCGATAGTTCTTTTTGGTTTGGCCACCTGCTGTTTTCTAAGTATTTACCAGTCAACTTCCTGGTTCGCTTCCTCCATTTTGTATCGACATTCTTCATGTACAAGTAGCTGAAAACCTTCCTAGCCCAACGCTCTTCCCCCATTTCTCTCAATCGCTTCTCAAATTTTATCTTGCTGCTAGCTTCCCTGCCCTCAAATGATGTCCATCCCATATCACCTTGTACTCCCTGATTTGGTGTATTCCCGTGAGCTCCTAAAGCAAGCCTACCTATTCCACGTTGCTTAATTTCTAATCTTGCTTGCACTTCTGATCTCATGCACAAGACCGCATTGCTGAA